CTGACTTTGTCTCCACGTGCTCCACATGATGGTCCTTGTAAAGTGATGACCACTGGGACAACAACTATGTGATCACAGATTGGTCGCACATAGTGTAATAAGTCCCACATCATAATTGTGGGAACAGAAAAATGTGGTACCAATTACCAATTACTTGGAACCACTTATGTGGGATCGACCAATTATGTGGGATCTATTGTCGGATCAATTATGTGGAACAAATATGCGATCATACTCTAGTCACATAGCATAATTAGTCACACATCATAAGCGTGGGAACAAGAATGTCGGACAAATTACGTGGGACCAATTATGTGGGGCCAACATGTAATGCCTGATCTGTCCTTCTCAAAAAAACTTTGGGTTAATCCATTTACATCTTTGGGTTAATCCATTTACATCTAAGGCAACATCCCAACCCTAACTTCTTCCTATCCGTGAGCTGAGGGTTGGGGGCATACATGGCAAGGCATTGGCAATAGCAATAGCAAAGTCCATGTGACCTGACTTGCCGCATGTAGTCCATCACAAAATACTCAGTGTAAGTATAGATATAAACATAAACATTCGGTTAGAAATGTAACTACAAATTCTCTCTCGTGTACAGAGACTACCAATAGCAACCGAGGAAAGTCCTCTGGAGAGGAGACAGCATACTATTTATAGCAGTATCGCAATCCTCTTTACAATGGCAAAGACTACTAGAGAAATGACATGACTGATGAAACAGATCGGCCAGATCGGAAACATCTTGCTGCTAATAGGCCCCACTAAAAATCTACATTGCTTTAAACCGATCAGAACAGATAACTACACTTGATCTTAGCCAAAGGCCGAGGCAGGTATATTGCCAGAAGGCAAGGCCAGGTGCACGTCCTGTACCTCACTGAGTGGCCAGTTTCTGTCGTCGTCCTATGAAATACTATAACTCTGTGCCTTCATAAAGGACATGAGTGACCAGTCTCTGTCGTCGTCGTATGTGCCTTCATAAACGACATGCCCCAAGATTATTGTCCATCTCCTTCAAACATTTTTCCTCCCCTTCATCTCCTGCAAAAACTACCAACGTCTTTTTTTTTTTCGAAGGCTTACTTATTTTCCCCCCGCTGCTTATCCCCTACCTACCCCCTTCGCCTGCAAAGAGAGAGATGACCTTGAGCAGCAACCCTTTCTCTGTCAAAAGACTATTTATATCCCGATGATGTAGACTTGTGGGCCATTCAAGTGAGGAAGGGTCGCTATCTCTACCCCGATGATATAGACTTGTGGCCATTTTCAAGTAAAGAAGAGTCGTTATCTCTGCCCTGATGATCTAGACTTGTGGCCATTAAGTGAGGGAGCATCGATATCTCTACCCCAATGATGTAGACTTCTGGCCATTCGAGTGAGGAAGGGTCGCTATCTCAAACCCGATATATACAGAATTGTGGCCATTCAAGTGAGGAAGGGTCGCTATCTCTACCCTGATGATCTAGAGTTGTGGCCATTCAACGCAGACGATGTAGACCTGTGGCCCTGCAAGTCAGGGAGGGTCGCTATCTCTACCTGGAACGATGTAGACTTGTGGCCATTCAAGTGAGAGAGGGTCTCTCTGTCTTCCCCGATGATGTACTCTTCTGGCCATTCAAGTGAGGGAGGGTCGAGTGAGATTCATCTTTTGAAAACCACTACGCGGTGCTGATCTTTTGAAAAGCACCTCTACCGACCCTTTTAATACCACCGTGCCTGTCAGGTCTCACCCTTGCTCATGTCTCTTCTTCTCCCTTCTTCTTCTTCTTCTTCGTCGTCTTTCTTCTTCTTCTTCTTCTTCTTCTTCTTCTTCTTCAGGTTCATGTGTTTCTGACTCCGAGCCCAACCTGTCTGCAACATGTAGCACGGCAAGGCCTAGCACCTTACGTCTTTGCTTCTCCTTCTTCTTCTCTTCCTTCTTCTTCTTCTTCCTCTTTCTCGTCCTTCTACTAACCCAACTCCAACGTGATTGTCACCTCGCAAGTCAATCCATCCCCTTACATCTCTTCTTCTACTTCTTATGAAGGTTCTATTGTTATCATGCATGGACGCGCAGTGATTTGCCTCCCTATCTCAATTCTTTTCTTCTTCTTCTTCTTCTTCTTCTTCTTCTTCTTCTTCTTCTTCTTCTTCTTCTTCCGGGCACGTGCGCGGAGACGACTTTGCTTTCTGGAACCTGGACACATTGCACTTGACCTCCCCGTTTCATTCACTTCAATTCAATTCAATTCAAATCCACTGCACGTCACTTCAATTCCATTATCCCGCTGGTCCTCCTCTTCGTCGTCGACATCGTTGTTCTCTCTTCCATTACTCGGATCCTACCTCTTCGCACGACGAAACCCACATCCCACTTGTTACCTGATGTCGTTCTTGTCTCTTCCCTCCCGTCTAACTCCGATCCCGACGTGCCTGCCACGTGTTGTGAGGGAGCCCTCCACCCACTTTTCCCGTCTTTCCGTACTCTCATCTCTCCCCTCTCCCTGCCATCCCTGAAATTAGTAGTGTCATCGGTCTGCCGCAGCGACGAGACAGGAACACATTTTTTTTCGCAGGATCCTGAAATATAAACCATGTTTCAGCTTGGGAGACTTGTAGCGCAGTCGTTAATCCTCCCCTGTGTGAGCACCTGGCATCAAATTTATGGACGCACCCTCTTTCTCGTTCTGACCATTCTACTTCTATTTACTCAAGGGTGGCATCTCATTGTCATCCTATCGTCTTCACCCCATCAGAGCGCCCCGTCATTATTCCCATACCATATCGAGACTGAGGGCATACATACACTATCTGATCACGTTCACGGCCAGGCCTGGATGTATTTGGGCGCAATTTCTTCCAGAAATGAGTAAAAAAACTTTAGTCCTAGTGTGAGTGTGCTCTGAAAAAGAATACAGTTATAATTACTGGGCGTTCTACTCGGGTGAAGACGGTGAACAATTCCCTCTCTCAGTCCCTACCCTCGTCATCTCTGTTTCCTCTCGTACTCTATCTTCCCCCTGACGCCCGGCTCGTACTAAACGACAGCCAGACAGTGCGGATGGGCAGTTTTGATGACATTTACGTTTTTTCAATAACATGGATCTCGCTCCACCACTATCCTCCATAGCCACGTGTTCACAGAGAACACGGGCGGTTGCTTACAGCTGTGGAGGACCGGTGCTGTAGACGACAGTGAACCGTCGTCGAGAGGTTGGAAAAGAGAGAGTGAAGCGGACAAACAAAGATAGAGACGGAGAGAGAGAGAGAGAGAGAGAGAGAGAGAGAGAGAGAGAGAGAGAGAGAGAGAGAGANGAGAGAGAGAGAGAGAGAGAGAGAGAGAGAGAGAGAGAGAGAGAGAGAGAGAGAGAGAGAGAGAGAGAGTAAAGAGGGACGGTAGACAGAGAGGACAGAGAAGGGAGAGAGGGGAATGAAATAATCTGAGACAAAATGGGCAGATGACGATGACAAAATCGAGAAAACGATCACGAGAGAAGAGACCAGCTGAAAGCTGGGCAGGATGGAAGAGAAGATAGAGGGAAGCAACTCGGGAATCGGACAGGAGAGGAGGGAGGCAAGAACTTACCTCAGTCGTCATGAAAGACGTACTTCACCTGTGGTCCCGACGACCACTGTTCTGCCCTTGTACACGATGGCGATCGTTTCAGTGATTCAAAAAACACCGACGCGGCCGTAGGTTCTCCACATCGACGGCTATCATCAAGCAATAAAATGCAATTCCAGGTGTAGTGTGCGCGTGTTGAACGGCGCTGTGAACGCTGTAAAGAACATTTGACCAACAGGTCAGAGGCTCGAATCCCGACAAGTACTCTGACCGCAGGAGGTCGTGGGAAGGACGGAACCAGTGTTCCAGCGTCAGGCCGGCGTCAGGCCGGCGTCAAGCCGGCGTGGGTATGGGGGTTGGAAGTTTACCAAAGGAGTGACGAACTGGGACACCATATATCGTCATATATATATCGTCATATATATATCGTCAAACAAACTGCCCGGTAAACCGCCGGCAGAGAGGCTGTTTCATCGGAGTTTCACCGACTCAGGAGGCTGAACCCTAACAATCTGCAGAATCCCCCCATCTTTTTTTGTTTGAACTAAACTGACACAATGTTTAAAAATCATTGAACGCTGCAGCTATGGGTTGAACTGATTACACTAATGACCTATATTGTCCTCTCATATGCCTCACGTTACCTAATCCAATGTTTAAAAATCATTGAACGCTGCAGCTATGGGTTGAACTGATTACACTAACTGATAAGCCACCTTAACCCTGGTTGTGGTTAAGCATCAACGACTGCCCGACACTTGATACCTGAGGTGGGCACCAACCACTGCCCTCAAGGTACCCGTGACGAAAATCAAAGCAGACTATCACTCACGCACACCAGATGGAGAACGCAACAAACTCTCGGTTCACACCCTATCACAAGCCAGCAAAACACCCACGAAACAAAGAAAGGTCTATCACAGCCAAAAAATACACTCCAGACACGCTTGTGAGGAACAAGCCCTCAAGGGGCCCTATCAGACATCACATTGTCCTGGGCTAAGGCCCCCTGCAAGCTAAGTGCCCGCCCTAAGTGAAGGCGGGCCTGAGTATTCGTCAAAGACAAAATTCGACATTTCCATATGTGGGTATTCAGGCTCTCGCAGCACGCCAGTTGGTTGGGAAGACGCGTGAGCCTCACATTGCTGCATCATACAGTTGGCCCAGGCCTTGACAGTTGCACCTGGGCACACATACACAAAGCAGGGCCGATACATTGGGAAGCAGGCCTTCGGCCTTTGCAAAAGCAGTAGTGCCAACGCACCTGCCTGGAGCCCTGCACAGATGCAGCAACCAGCCCAAGTCCGGAGACTCAGGCTGTGCCTAACTGCAAAAGGGGCCCAGGCCCTCAACTGTAGTCTCGGGCCTGGGCGCAGGGTCTGGGACCCAACTGGAAGCTACTGGAAGCTTCCCGCCAGGCCACATGCAGCATCCAGGAGGCTGCCACTTCCACAAAAGGAAGGAAGCAGCCCAGGCCAGGCATTCTGGCCAGCACTGGCAATGCGGAAGTGCTGCTGCGCTCTCGCTTGATGCAGCACTGATGCCAAGGGCGCTGACGGGGCGCGAGAGGTGAAGTGGGGCGCTGCAGGGCAGCGGGGCGCAGGCAGCCATAGCCGGGCTGCTGGGCGCCAGGGGGTACAGCGGATGATCAGGTGGTCTTCAGGGAAGGAGGCGCTGTGTGGGGTAATCAAGGTCTGATTGAGGGTGACGAGATACGTACCTGGTACATGAAGAGAGGTCGACGATGGTGTTGGCAGTCATGTACATTGGTCTTTGAGAGTCGAAGTGATCCTGTTGCATGAACCGGCTGTAGGTAGGCTAGTCAGGTAGAGTAGGCTGGGCGCCGAGCGCCAGACAGGAGAGAGCGACTTTGGATACTGTGTTGGTGTGGCTTACGGGCTTGGACATTGGCTCATTACTTCATTGTATTGCTCTATATGGATGGTTTTCTCAGTGCATTTGTACTCTCTGTTGGGACACGACTACTTGTTCAGCTGTGTGATTTCACAACTTGGTTTTATGTATATCGCTCACAATCATATTCCTTCCGATTTGGTATCGGAGCTGGTTGGTGATCGCCGCTTACCTGGCACCGGCGACATTGTGACTTGGTGCGCTGACGATGCTTCAGGTGCAGTAAGGATACTTTGGCGCTGGTTGATTAGCGGGGCCTAGGTGGAGAGGCCGGCCGCTGGAAGGCTGTGGCGACAGCGTGGGAGCTGTGGCGACAGCGGGTGTATGCATGACGATGAGAGTATGCTGACGTGGCATTTTGGCTGAGGTGGCACTGCATTACGTTGTGGGTGGTACCGAGGCTAATGACTGGTCATCGAAATGCACGTCGGCCCAATTGGTGAGAAATTTGTGGTTGGGGGCAGCTATCTCCAGGTACGTTGTTCCCATTCCTTATCTACCCTCTCAATCTCTTCTTACCGTGAGGAAGTGAGTCCAACTTGAGTGTCCTCTCTTCGGTGAGGAGTCGTGTGCGCTCTATCTAGATAGACGACATTCTTCCCGGTGGCGCATCTGGCAGGAGAGGGCGGTGCCTCTGAAGGGCCCTGGTTGAAGCACGGGTCACGGTCACCATGCCAACCCATGGGTATTAGTACACGCAGGCCATGCTGCTTCGTCCACTGAGGCTCTTTGTTGCGCTGATAGAAGGGGTGTGCGGACTGACCAGTCCTACGGAGACCCTCCCAGACCGTCTATAAACATTTTTGGTTGGGGTCTGAATTGTCCTGGTTGTGATCGTCGTCTTGATTGTGACGTTAAAGAATTCCTGAGGACTCCAGGGGCTGTCCTTAAATTGCCTCTTGATCAGCCAGATCAGTCAGACGTAAGGCTCGTTACACGCGAGGGTAAATAAAGGGCAGGCTGGTCATAAGCATACTTCTTGGGCACAGGGGTGGGCCGTAGTTGCACACCTTAGACACCGCAGCTTGATGATGCTCATAGGTACGTTGGATATAGGGGAAGGGGATTCCATATGTGAACTCAACTTAACATCACTACCATTTCCATTGTGCATACATCTGCTCACATTAGTCTAAGTTTTATTTTTGATTAGTTGGTTGACCGACTGCTGACACCTAACAGACAAACTAGAGTAGGACTGTAATCTATCATAGTCAGTTCTTCTCAAATCTTATGTGTAGAACTAATCATGATAGACCTAGACAATGTGTACAGTTTGTGTAGGTTATGTTGATGCCGCTTAAATAGTAGTCTAGGTAACTCGCCGGACATTTCGATCCGGTCAGATGCATGTTGCGGTAGGTTCCAAAGAGGACATTGGTGCAGACAGCGTCTGCCTAGCTGATGAGTGGATCACAGGGTGTTGAAGGTACAGCTAACGATAGAAAGCAGACACGACGGGATACCGCTAGGATACCTGTTGTGTTCCAGGTTCTACTACCAGGAGACCAGAGAAGGCTTAGGGCTGAGACAAGGGTCCGCAATCCAGAGACTGCGAGAGCAGCAGCAGCAGCAGCGGCTAAACGTGCATTAGCAACAGCAGCAGCTAGCGTTGTAGCTATGGCTACCTTGGCAGCAACTTGTGCTGCAAACTCAACTTGTCAAGGGTTGGGCATGCCGACCAGTTCACAGTCCATCTCCAGTACGTCAGGAGCTGACACTAGTCAGATGGTGCAGTTCAGCTCGCCGACTCCACGCACACGGGAGCAGATGGAGCTCCAGCAAGTCGAGAGGATTCGCTTAAGGCTAGAGGAGGAACTTAGACAGGCTACTAAGAGAGAGAAAGAAATTAGAGACAGAAGTGTCAGACTAGAGGGTAGGGAGGCAGACAAGGTTGCGCTAGAGGAGCTAGATGACTCGACCCTTAACGATAATGAAAAGGTTCTTAGGGCGAGCATCCTGTCTATGTATCCCCCGCGGCTGCGGTCACTGCGGGCCTGACCGCGGCCCATGCGGTCGACCGCGGGCCCGCGGTCATGACCACTGCGGCCGCGGTCGAAAAAGGCGCACCGCGGGCGAGGGGGAGGGGGTACCGGAGGTCGGGGTCGGGATTCTGGGGGCGCACCCGAGGCCCCACCCCCCCACATTGAAAAAAAATAAAAAAACTTTAAAATGGGGGGTCCATTTTAGGGGGGGGGGAGAAAAATAATGGACCCCCTTCCATTGTTTTTTTAATTTTTTTTTTTTACTTTTCTCTTTTTCGTTCTATT